GTTAAGCGCCGAACGCTGCTGTGCCAGGCCTCCTTTTTTTCCGAATTGCTTGCCAAATAAGTTTTAGTAAAAGTAAAAGGCACCTCAGAACTTCTGCTGAGGGTAAAATTTACCGTCCCATCATCACAGCGTAACTTTACTGACCATCCATCTCATCGCCTGCATACATCCGTCAAGTTGAACCTGGAAAAAATACGAAAATTTTTCGATTTTTTTTGAATTTTAATTTTTTTTGAATTTTTTCGGGTCCAATTTTTTGAATTTATATTTTAATGATAAAAAAAAAGCACAAGTGGGACAAGAATCGTAGATGAAACTTTGAAACTGACAATTTGTTTTTTTTTTCATAAATTAAAAAAATTTTTTTTTGATTGCAACTCATCCTGGATTTTTGTATTCCTTATTCTTCCTCACGCATTATTTTCCCGGTTCTTTTCTCTATTTTTCTGGGCTTTTTTCTTTCTTCTTTGTATCATTAACGAATTGCACGAAGAAACCAAATATTTACTGCTTCGTTCGTTACTAGTTTCAGCCATTACTTTTTTTTATCATTATTTTTTTATTTTCTTTTGCCTTTTTGTGCTTTTTCCTCATTGTCTTGTCCAGTATTTTTTAAAATTGCTTTAGTAGTTGCAATTAGAGAAACAGCAAATACGGAGAGAATTTTGACCCTAACCGGATAAGCTTTCACTATGATTTATGGCGATTCGGATGGGTGTCAAGGGTCACGGGGTTTTTTTTTAACTACGTGGTTTTTACTTTATAGAGACTAGTACCCTTGATACCCTCTCTTTCATTCTTCGTCATCGAAATAACCACTTGTTAATTCTACGCCTGAATCTTTTTAATTCTTGTGAGTTCGGCTAACTCTCCAGCATCTGATATTCAGATTTGGCTGCTGCCTCCCTCCCCCCTCAAGCAATCGTTCCCCCATGTACTTTTTCCTTCTTCCGGAGGAAAGTACTGGATATGTGCTGCAGAAAGCACCAAGCACCCACTTTTTGTGTTATTTCTGTTGAGAACGCAGAAAAAAAGCGGAAAAACG